CCATACCATGAAGACAGCTTGCAGGAGCACTAGTGAAGTGACACTCCCCGCAAACCGCAATCCTGCTGATGCTGATGCTAGAAAAAGAACAACTGAGCGGACTCTGAGGGTGCCCTGAGTGCCGTAGCCATTGCTGTCATTTTCACATTAGATCATGTTTCACTCTCCAGTTTCACTGCGTTAGTTATTCTCACCACTTTCGTTGCGACCCGGCGTTGTCGGTGTTTGCTTCAAAGTGTCAGGGTGAATGTCATGCCGTGAAGGCTGCTCTTTGTGATCTCGGGGATCCTGGCTGGGGGGATCCCTGGTTTCCGCATTGAGCTTTGTTGCTTCCCACACCCTCTGAATTGGCCCATGGTGTTTTTGTGGCGTGTCTTGTTTTTTGTTTATTGTATGGGCCAGCGTCAGCATGGCACACAAGATGTCATTTTGCATGCACCGAGATGATACTAAGCTATCACCTCTTGCTTTAATCGATCTTTTTCACCCATAAACTGGAACTTGTCACGTCACTGCTCGGTGGTTTGTGTTGTTTTTTGTTTGGTTTGTTTGCTCTTGTTTTTGTGTGTTTGTGTTCTGTTTGTGTTTGGTTCTGTTCTGTTTTTGGTTTTTGTTTCTTTGTTTCTTGGTGTTCTGCTTGGTTTTCTGGATGAACGTGACAGTGCATAGGACTATGTATCGGTCCTCCACCAGTTTACTTTTGCGGCCACTACAGCAACGGCCTTTGCGTGACTTAATTAATTCATTAATCCCAATTGCAACATGCTCTGAAACATGTTGAACGACCTGGCGGAAGCCATGGAGGCGTTGGACGGAAAAAAGCAAAAAGATTTCATGGTGTTGAAGACCCACAGGTCGAACCAGATGCAGAGTCTGAAGCTGCAAGCACACTGAAGCTGACCATCCATCAAAATCACCAAAGGGCTGCAGTGGAGCCTACACCAGAAGGTTATATTTCCTGGCTGATTGAGCGCTGTGAACGTCGTTAGAAGAGCTCTTTACAGAGAACGCGTGACCATTGTGAATGTCCTCCAGTCAGCACTGACCTCTGAGCTTCGTCCTGCAGAGCTGGGATGAGCGACACAAGCGATGATGAAAGTTCTCCGAATCATGCAGCAATCAATGCTTCTACTTCACTTGCTCAAGCTTCTCGTGCCGTGCACTTCACAGCATCTATGCAGTCTGCTGGAAGTTCAACAGGTTTCAGCACAAACGGTGACATGGTGCACAATGCATTGATGCGTGGCATCGACAGGCGTGCAGCTGACAATGCAAGAGCTGCCGCAGGTGATGATGCCAGTGACAGCAGTCACATCGAGACTGCATCAGAAGTGCGTCTGAGGTGTCTCAATGCTGATGAAAGTGAGTTTCAGATCCGGAACGTTGGTTATTGCTGAACCATGGAAGAAATTGAAGAAGAAGAAGAAAACTTGGAAGGTTGAAGCATGGACAATGAGAAAAAATGTTTATGTCCAGACAGCAGAGCCATTGGACTTGGGTTTTGTTTGGGTTAGGAGGACCCCGGGGGCAACACTAAGGGTTCGCTCCCAGCTGCTTTCCCTCCTCCTGATCTTTTTTTGTGGTCGGCGCCCGTTGCCTTTCGGCGGATCGCACTTGAGACTCCCGAGTGGACCAGCAGGGATTCGAACCACCACCGGCAATCTGCTTTCCCTCCTCCTGATCGGCGTAAATGTGACAGCGCCCTCTTTCTAACTGGGTTGCTGATGTTGCCTGCAGCTACTGGGGTCTGGCTTGTTCCTGTTTGCAAGTTGCCGATTAGATTCTAGATTTCTTTGTTTATCGATACCATTGCTGTGATTGGTCCATGCAACCATGCTTTAATTTTCGCTTCTTCCCTGGGCCGGCCGGTCTGCGTCTTCTCTTCTTCTCTCCCTTCTTTGTCCCTGTGCTTTCCTTTGCTTTCCTTGGCTTTCTTGTTTTTTCTCTTCGTTTTTCTTTCTTCTTCTCCCTTTCTGGTTGGGCGGTTTTTGTGCTTCCCGTGTGGTTGGTATTTTGGGTTTTCTGTGTGGTGGGGCTTCGGCCCGCCCCGTGTTTTTTGTCCTGTTCTGTGTGTGTGGGTTGGGGCTTTGGCTCGCCCCGTGTGTTTTGCCTTGTTCTGATGTTTGATTTCTCTGTGTTGGGGCTTCGGCTCGACCTGTGCAGTTTGTCCTCTTCTATTGTGTGATTTCTCTGTGTTGGGGCTTCGGCTCGCCCCGTGTTGGGCATCTGCCAGCCCGTGTCGCCAGCTTCTGCGTGCTGGCGTCGTTGGGGTGCATGGGTGTTTTGCTTTGGGCTGTTCGTGGTCATGGATTTCTTGTCTGGTGTGGATAGGTCCGACTTTGAGCTGTTGGCGAACGAGGCTGTTGGATGTTCCTCCTGTTGCCTTCATCTGACAGTGGGGCAACATCAGTTGATCAGATCCCTTCTTTTTCTGGTGGGTGTGTGGCGTCACAGTTAGTTGGAAAGAGGGTCTCAGATTACTCGGGTTGAAGCTGTTCTGTGCGGTCGCGGGGGTCGAGATCGACCCTTATGGGGTCGTTGGTTGGGAACTACTCTGTCCTCTTTAGGTGCTGATATTGCCAACTTTGTTCGGGTGAGTCATTGGTATTTTACCGGGGTTTGATGCATTGCCAGTCGGGTCTCCGATGAAGGGCGCCTGGTTTCCTACCTGGGCACGCAGTTGGTGCTATGCTGGGAAAAGGCTGGTATGCTCTTTGGGTTCACCTTTTGCTTTGTTTTTTTGTTTGAATCTGCTTCGGTCCCTTTTGATCATTGGTTAAGTTAAAAAATAGTTTGGGCCACCTGAAGCTGGCAGGGAGGACTTGCAATGACGTTTGGTTTGTTCATGGGAGCTTGTCTGTCGATCTGCTGGTGGAGGTGTGTTCCCGGGCTGCAGCTACTGCTGTGAGCCGCCACAACACAACAACAACCACAACCACAACAACAACAACAACAACAACAACAACAACAGTGAAGAAAAAAACATGGAAGGTTGAAACATGGACAATGAGAAAAAATGTTCATGTCCAAACAGCAAACTGGAGATGAACTCAAAATGTGCTTTAGCCTGAGCTAACGTGATCTCAGTTGGCACTTAGCAGTTGAGGTTTCACGCTGTGTCGGAGGTTTGTCTGAAAAGGAATTTGCAAGTCGTGGCCCACCAATGCGTGCCCCATGCAGCACTTACCATTGAAAAAGTCAATGATGTCAAAGTGGGGTGCAAGTGATTTACCCTGCAGTAATCCAGCTACCAATAGCGTATATACAGTTGCGAATTGCATGGCAGTCTCATGTGCAAATGCACAAACAGAGAAGTGTATGTTCCAGACGCTTTTGGCTGAGCGAAAATAAACACTTTTTGTCGAGGCATTGGGTTCTTGGGCCTTGTGGTCTCATTTTGGCCCCAGCTACAGAAAAAATGTTTTCCCCGACAACGACTTGGTTCAGATCCTGTCTCCAGAAGATGCGGTTTTGGGAAGTTGTGATCACGTGGTCTGGAACGATGGCAACCACAAGTGTAAAAATTATTGATGCTTTCACAGTGTCTTGGCTTTGGTCCCGTTTTGAAACTGATCATAATTGGCGTAAATGTTGTGATACTTATCAACAAACTTGAAAAAAATTACTTGCGTGGGTTTTGAAAAATGTAACAATCAGGGTACAACAGATTTCAAGAGGACCGACTAGACAGTGGTTTCAGTTTCAGCGTTAGCCGAACCAAAACTTGTGATCAAAAACCCATTTATTTTTGCACCGACCCGATGGAAGGTATGTGTAGTGTACTTGTTCACTAATGTTTTGGGAATGTAGAACTTCATCCTATGATGGGCTACATTTTGGCTCAAGTTGACATTCCCTGCTTGAAGGGATTTTTGTTTTTATTTTCAGCTTTGTTCGCGTTCATGCTTGTTTTCAGCTTCACATGTAGTCAACATTGAACTTGTTTCATTCGCGTTTTTTTTACAGGGCATTTGCTCATACAACAGACTGGCAGATCCAACTCAAACATTTTGGTTGTCATTTGCTTTCTTTCATCTCCGGCCGGACCCGGGCGCACATGGTGAGCCATCTGTGGTGGGCTCTATTTTTCATCACTGCCTGTGACAGTTGTCAGATTTCTTGCAATTCAGATTTCATTGATTCAACTTTTTTCGGGGGCCTGGTTCGACGTCGTTTTGAGTGCAGTGCAGAACTCAGTACATCATTTTCAAAATTTTTCATTGCGCAGATGGATGTGGACATCGATGACTGGACTTTGATTTCCAACCCATGTCCCAAGAGTCGACCAGCACCGAAACCAGTTCCAAGTTTTCATTTTCGTCCTGCTGCCAGTTTGTCACAGCCACTGTCAAAAGGGGGCAAAGAAGTTCCCAAATTCGAACGGCCGAATCCTTACCCAGTTTTGCAGTCGCCTAGGCGTTCCAATGACATGACAGTTTCTGGCATACATGATATTTCAAGTGTAGATGTCAAGATGTCCAAACCTGTGTTTTTGCCGGCGCAAGCACCCCGTGGTTCGTCAGCGCCTCAAAGACCTCGTGTTCAAGGTATCTCAGTCGATCTGCAACGCCGTTGGATAGCACTGGTCCACAGCATTGGCAATTTGTCACAAGTTTGGAGTGACTTTCAGGGTTCAACTCATTTTGAATCACATTGGCTTCGTTTGCTTGACAAATTTTCGAATTCCACAATGTTCAAGTACATTGCAGTGTGTCCACAACATTCTACAGGAGTTCTCATTGACCTGGCAGGCCATCGGGACATACAAATTGTCCGACTTGCTGCAAATCACGCACGAGGGGCGCCAGACAGATTGGGGATTTGGCGCATCAGCAGCCATCAAAGCACTGCGTTGGTTACAGAAGACTTTACAAATTCCGGCTTGGAGTACTTTGCATGGACCAGTTGTCAATTCAGTTTTGAATCCAACAATTCATGAACGTAAGGAAGCCATTCCTTTGAGCCTATTCATCGTCACACAGTGGGAACGACGATTACTGATGAAGGACTGTCCTTTACAGGATCAGGTCGTTCTGGGTGGCTTCCTTTGTATGCTGTGGGCAGGCCTGAGATTCTCAGATGGACAGCGTATCAACTTGCAATCATTATCATGGTGCATCACGGCACTGCGTGGCTCATGCTTTCAGACCAAGACAACTAAATCCGGCCAACCTTGGGCCCTGCAGGCGAGGGGTTTCCTGTCTCGAGGCGATTGGTCATGGACAGCTCAGTGGTTGGTGGCGCTGGATACCATTTGGGGACCGATGCACAACGCTCAGACTGCCTGTGATTTTTTGCTTCCCATGACATTGGACACTGGATTTGTGCAGCCTATGATTCCCATGAGTTACTCTCAAGCATTGAAGTGGATGCGATTTATGTGCACACTGCCCTGGAAACTTTCAGACACACCACTGTCTGCCAATCCAAATGATTATACGTTGCATTCATTGAAGACCACTACTTTGTCCTGGTCCAATCAGTTGGCCCAGCAGGGCCTCGTGACGGAGGAGCAGCGACACCTCCAAGGCCACCATCGACGTGGCAGCATGCGCCTCTACAGCCGGGATGACACCGCCGGCCAGCTGGCACTGCAGGACACCCTCATCACCCAAGTGCAATCTGGATATCGATTTGTGACACCGTTGCATCGTGGATCACAGCAACCGATCCGAGAACCCCCAGTCAAATTAGAAAGCTTTGCCAAGTCATACCAAGAGCACCGATGGACATTTTTTCCATTCAACAACGCTGTCAAAGACCCTCTGTTGAAAGGTCAGCCAACGGCACTTGCCACCATTGACTCAGGGGACGAGATCACGGTGGAAAGCGACTCGTCATCATCCTCCTCATCATCGAGCTCATCAGATTCACCTCGGAAAGTATCAAACAACATGACCCTGATTGGACCTCCGGAGGAACTGGTTGTTGCCCGCTTTACAAAAATTCAACACATCATGCTTCACTGTGATGATCAACAACAGCCGGTTTGGGAAGGTGTGCATTATAGGGCAGCTTGTGGGGCTCGTTTACCCCGAGACCATTGTCATTTTGACAATCAGCTCCAACCATCATACAGCATTTGTCGACATGCAGCCTGCTGCAACCGCTGGCAACAAGTTTCAACTGATTCCTAATGAATCATTACTTCACTGCGGGGCGCCGAGCTTGCAGAAATGTGCAATTGACTGAGCAGCCATTTTTTTCCACATACTCATTTAAGGAGTGATGTGCCATGTTTTGTTTTCTTTTTCTCAAATTGTGTTATCAAATGAAAGATTTGAAGATATCAGACATTATATCAATCGACGCAGCGAACTTCACTTGACTTCACAGTCACATTTGGCCGACATTCACTTGGAAGGCATTGAACCTAACCTCCATGCAGATGTGGCTCCAGGCTCCAACATCGATTCACTCAAGGCACGTGACATTGGATCAACATTGAAAATGTTTACATTTTTAAGGAATTTGCATCAATCCAGGTTCAATCTTTGTTCAAAGTGTCTTCAAAATTTTTCAGCAGCAATGAGTTCATCCATTTGCATTGATTGGCATGTTGCCATCGCGTCGGCCTGGGGTCAGCGTAGGTCCACGCAACCTTCCAAACTTATTAACAGTCCTTTTCTTTCCCCATAATCAATTTATGTCCCTCACATGACTCTTCTTTGATCGCATGATGAGAACTTCCAATTATACCAATCCACATGAATATACTGCTCACGTGTCAATCATAATGCAGTTATGAATCAGATTTTTTTTTCGGTGGACGCTTCATCCAATGCGTTTGGCGTAGTCTCCTGTGGAGACAACATGGCTTTACCTGCGTTTGAAGACGTTTTGTCTGAATGTGGGGTTGACCCAACACTGGCTTCGCAGTTGGTGCAGGAGGGATGGACATCCCAAAATTTCGCAATGGTAGTTAATTCCAAAGAAGAGTTCAATGAAGGCATTTGGGACCAGTTGTGCAATTCACCAATTTCTTTGGTGCAGCGTTCAAACCTGAAAGTGGCTTGGCAACAGTTGCAACCTGACTCTACTAGCACCAGTCGGGACTCCAACATTGCTGGCATGACGACAGCATCAGCTCCTGAAGGATCATGGTCTGAATCTTTCGCCCCCAAGCTTCAGGCGAACACAGTTTCGAAATTGAAGAAACAATTTTTGGAAGACTATCCATCAGAAGCCTTAGCCCAGACACGATGCCCAGTTCTCGATTGCTTTCGATGGCGTTTCAGCATCATAGCAAGCGTGAGTATCCATGGATCCCTTGGCGTTATCGAATGTCACAATCCAAAATGGATGATATGATGATTTACCATAAGCCCAAAGTCCCCCGCATTGAGGGTCTTCAATTACACCAATTGTTGCTGGACGAACCTCCGGCCTTGGACATCAACAACACTGGGATGGGCGTGAACGCAATCCGCAACATGATGGATATTCACAACACTGCGATGGCGTTGGTGGGAGCATGTCACCTCCAACGATTGCGGGCATACTCCTTACGCTTCATGAGCTTCTTGACCCAGCGTTTGGACGGAGATTCTGGACTCCGGACGCCGAACGTACTGGAGGCACAGGCAGCAGACAAACAACTATGGAATCTGATTCACGAATTGGTGTTGGATCAAGGATTTACATTGGACAACGCCTTACACGAGGTGACTCACCTGAGGGCGGACATGGCCTCCCTTTTGCAGCCAAGAGCCAAGGTCACCTCACGACCTATGGGTTCAACCTCATCTTCGGCTTCGACCACCACAGCCCCCAAGGGCAAGAGTAAAGGAAAAGGAAAATCCAAATCCATTGGCAAGAACACCAAAGGCGAAGCTCAAGGACGACCAACTTGGGTGACAGAAGCAACGATTCAGGGCAAGAAGCAGCAGCTCTGTATGCAATTCCAATCTGGTCGCTGTCAGAAGGGTGACCTCTGCAAGTTTGGCCACTTCTGTGCCTATCCGCTTGCTTCTGGACAAGCTTGCGGCCAAGCCCATAGCGCATTTGCTCATCAACAACAACCCCACTGACTTGCGGCTTCCGATGCACAGACCACAGCGACCAGCATGGATATCAGCGATGACAAGGAGGGCGAAATTTTTTCACCCCCAACCGTCTCACCATCTCCTCAAGCCCAAGCTTTGGAGACTGTTTCACATACAGAGGAGGTTATCCCACCATCTGTTTCAAACAATGTGGATTTCTCCTATTTACAAGGTTCTCGAATTTTTCTGGACCTATGCTCTGGAGCCGGACATCCTCTGACATCAGCGATGCTACAGCGTAATTGCATTTGCTTTCCAGTTGACAAATTGATTTGTGATGACATGGATATTTTGAATAATTCATTCTTTGAACCTTTGTTGCGTGTATGCTCATCTGGATGCGTGGGTTATGCAGGGGCCGCCCCAAACTGTGGTGAGTACAGCCGACTCAAACTGAAGCCTCATGGACCACCAGCATTGCGGACACCTGAGTTTATGCAAGGCCTTCCTGGTCTCACTCCAGCCCAACTTGACCGAGTCCAAGCGAGCTATGAACTGATGACCCGATGCGTTTTGTGCTTGGAATTGGTTTACTCTGCAGGTGGACATGTCCACCTTGAACAACCGACGAACTCTATGGCATGGCTGGAGGCGGAGGTTCGGCGATTCATAAAATTTTGTGCTATATTTTTGGTAAATTTTCCTGCTTGTGCTTTCTCGCGGAATTGGAATAAGAGTTGGTTGTTGGCATGTTCATATCCAGCTTTAAAATCCTTAGGATCCATTTGCAATCACCCCAAAGACTCCCATGAACCCATTTCTGGCGTTCGACATGCGGATGGAACCTTTAAGAGCCGCGACACTGCTGAATACCCGGAACCAATGTGTGCGGCGATTGCCAACTTGATTGCACCACTCTGCGCTTCTGACACTGGTCAACAATTGACGTGGACAACAGTACAACAATGCATCCCTGTGAAGGGTTCTTGTGATTTTCCGGTGAGTTATGAAGATGGTGGTGGCCTCAACTCTGAACCCGATTGGAGTCGTCCACATCGGGCTACTCCTGACAGCTTGAAGCAACTTCGACAAGACTGGGTTCAATTGATCCTTCACAATGGGATGCTGGACAAAATGCAAGCATTTTTTCGGGCCCATGAAGCCCAACCACCCTTTTCTGCAGAAGACTTGGCTCCATTTCGACACTCCCTGGAACGTTTTATACAATCTCATGGCATGATGGCAGACTGGAGCATTCGCATGGACCAACCCATGCACCTTGAGATTATGGCGGCCATTTCAAGAATTATGCAAGACAAAGACAATTCCCTGTTTGATATGTTACGACATGGAGCTCCGACAGGAATCCAATCGGATATCCCACCTTCAACCATTTTTCCTCGTGCCGAAGACAAAGCAGATGATTCCATCCCTTTATCCATCCACATGACTAACTGGCAATCTGCAGAATCAGACTTGGAGACCACTCGTGACTTGGTCAACCAAGAGCTGGAAAAGGGATGGATCTACGAGTATCATGGCACCTTGGCAGATGCACAAGCAGAATTTGGGGACAAGTTAGCCATTGGACGTCTCGGCCTTGCTCTCAGCGATCATCGGCCCCCTCGCTTAGTTGTTGACTCATCAATATGCGGCCTAAACAGTCGGTGCTCCATACCGGAGCGCACGACATTGCCGAGTGCATTGGACGTTATGCGGGTATACCCATTGAGGGAAACCCAGGAACAATTGGTGGGATTTTCGCTCGACATCAAATCCGCCCACAAGCTTGTTGTCATTCGAACAGAAGAACGCGGCCTATTAGGCTTTACACTCGACAACAAGATATACTTTTACAAAGTAGCCCCCTTCGGCGCTACCTTTAGCGCATATCACTGGACACGTGTGGGGAGCTTTATATTGCGGTTTTTCCACCACCTCCTGTGGTGGATCCACGCCGGATTCCTGTACGTTGATGACTACTTATTCCTTTTTCCTCGATCAGTGGCATTGATCATGGCTTGTGAGCTCTGCATAGCTTCACAAATTTTGAACATTCCTATCTCCTGGCGGAAATCTGAATTTGGTGCTCGGATTCACTGGATTGGCTGGCAATTTGAAATTACATCTGGGTACATAGCCCTACCTCTTGTGAAACTGGAAAAACTGCGCAACTACATCACACAGATGATACGATCTTCTCGTACCTCAAAGAAGGCATTGGAGAAGTTGGTTGGGCTACTGAATTGGGTGACTCAGATTTTTCTGCTCATGCGATGCTGGCTTCCAATATTATACAAGGACCTTTTCCATGTTCCTGCAAGTCATTTTAGCATCGACCCAGGCCATTGGCGTAACGTCATGGCTTGTCTGGACAATGATTTGAAATTTACCAGTACACCCACAGGCACTGGTATACCTGTGGGCAGCACTTTGTTGGCCATTCGCCATCAAAACGTTTCCTCCCTGTCAGATCTCAACAATATTTATCTTTCTGAACGATGCACATGGCTTCGCATTCGAGATATGCAATCGTCAAAGCGATGTTTATCATCAGACTCCATACGGATTCTGCATATGTTTTCAGCCTGGTTACAGTCACTCTCCCTGGTGAAATGTCTCAGGCCAAAACAACTTTGGACTGGCGAGTGCGCAGCTGACGCATGTGCTCATGGCGATACTTGCCAAATTGGCGGATTCATTCGTTTTCCTTCTGGCACAACAGTTTGGTTTAGTGAAACCTTTTCCTATGCAAAATTTGAATCCATGCATATTCCTGTCAGCAAAGAAATGCAGAAATGTATCGCTTGTTTTGAGACCTTGGCACAAATTGCAATACTTGTTATTTTCAGCCGCAGCTCCCCTGGATTTCGATATCCCTTACGTATACCTTCCTTGACTGATAACACTGGAGCAGAAGCTGGCGGCAACAAATTATTTTCGATGTCATCTCCGATGAACCTTTTTCTCGAAAAGCTGACTCTTTTATGTACCTTCTCCGGCATGGAACTTGACCTTTCTCATATATCTGGCGAACGAAATGAAGAAGCAGATGCACTGAGTAGGTGGGACGAATCCACACCACCACCTTTTCAACACCTATTGCAAAATCGATTTCCACTTACGCTGGAACAGTTGTGGCATCCAGAGACTTCAGTTGCGGTATATCCTCCAGAGACCTTTTTAGCTTGGCAACTCCCCTAGAAACTGGACTGGGTATAATTTTTACAAATCCACTCATCCCTCTATATATCTTTTCGACTGCTGGAATCCAACACATATCTTGGGGCGTAATTGGCGTTTGTATCCCACCAGCCTGATAGATGAATTGGCAGAAAATAACCATCAGCCTGGCGTTTACATATTTGAACACGAAATGTGGTTCAAATGGATCCAAAGACAATTATCAATTCTGGCAGTCGAAAAAGATATTAATATAAAGTGCGGTCTGTGAGATTTCCGTCGTTTTGCGGTATTGCGTTTTCGTTTATAGGTTTTGATTTATTTGAATAATAAATTAAAATTATATAGGGGAATGTCTACTTGAGCCAGAACGTGTAGTGTACTTGTTCACTAATGTTTTGGGAATGTAGAACTTCATCCTATGATGGGCTACATTTTGGCTCAAGTTGACATTCCCTGCTTGAAGGGATTTTTGTTTTCCCCCCCACCCTCACCAATGATATTAAGGGGTTTCGGGGACTATCTAACCTACACTCCCCTTTTTTCTATACCCGGTCCGGTTTTCAATTGCGTACGTTTCACATCCTGGCGTTCACTTTAAGTGAACCTATTGCAGCGACGACATCTTCATTCGACTTCATCCCTTTTTCTTGGCCAAATATTGGCTACCTGATGGGCAGAAAATAACCATCAGCCTGGCGTTTACATATTTGAACACGAAATGTGGTTCAAATGGATCCAAAGACAATTAACAATTCTGGCAGTCGAAAAAAATATTAATATAAAGTGCGGTCTGTGAGATTTCCGTCGTTTTGCGGTATTGCGTTTTCGTTTATAGGTTTTGATTTATTTGAATAATAAATTAAAATTATATAGGGGAATGTCTACTTGAGCCAGAACAACTTGGACATGGAAACTCACCGACTACTTTCCCTTAGAAAGTAGCACTTTGGATGTGCCTTACAAGGCCACGAGTTGCCGCAAAAAAAACTTTGCAGACAGGGTGAAGGACGCACTCTCTCTCACTTATTACGCAACTGGCCCGGATTCTGGAGCAAGGTTTTTATGGTGACCGACGACTACCAACGGGCGATTAGCTTCTACATGTTGGATCCATGCGGACCCACGCGCGAAAGCTCCAACTTTTGTGCCAAGAGCAATGTGACTTGTGGTGTGTATTTCATTGTCCATTACGCATATGCGCCCTGAGATTTCCCCTGTCGATGTGGTGCCTGGGTGTAGGGCAGCTGCAGCCCCTCTCTGCAGTGCGGTACGAAAACGGTGGAGGTCAACAGCAGCTGTCTCGAGGGCGTCCGCCGCACCAGCTTCCAGGGGAGCCTGACCTTTTTGCTCGGCATCCCATTCTCAGCCTGGGACTTGGAACCCATTGAACTATATACAATGGATATACGAAATGGGGCCAAACGCCATGTAACTTTGCAGCAGGTCCAGCTGGAAGGTCCTGCCGAAGGCAGCTTGATCCTCGGAAGTCAAGGGATCACAGTTTGATGGCTCACTAAAGCGATAACACAAAGAGCTCTGCAGCTCTGCAACTTGGGTGGAGTGTAGGGAAGATCTTCTAACTGGGTATTTTTGGAAGTCACATAGGAATATGGGAATTTCAATGACCATTCATGACCCCATTTCTGCCACCAGGTTGTTTTTGTTGCTGACATGCCATGCTCTTTGAAGTATTTTCCGCTCCCATGTGGTCATGGAATCAGAACCCCTGCAGATCTTCCACGAGTAGAAACAGTGGACAGCAAAACATTTAGTCCACACCTGCTGGTCTGGAGAATTTGCCAAGCAGGAAGTCCTACCCTGTAGCTTTCGCAATTTGACCCTGTGAGGCAGTCTGGAGAAACCATCAGACTGCCAGCAGATGTTGTAATTTTTCCTCTTGGCTCAAATCCACTGTTAAAGTTAAAATTGATGTTTTATTGGTCAGAAAAGAAAACAGCTGACAAACAGCTCCAGGGATCAGCCAAGCCCCAGCCATTGACCCCCTGAGGCTCAGAAAAATGCCTTGGGTGCTTTAGCCACTCACCAACTCATCATCTTTCACATGTTTCATGGAAAAACAACTAAAATCCAACCATAACTGGGGATCTTAAGTACCAAAATGACGGATCATAACCATTTTTCACCCCAGCCACTAGCTTCAGCAGCATTATCCTTGGGCCTTATCAGCTCCACCCAGTCCTCACCATGTGAGCTTTGAGCGAAAAGTATGGCAGCTGCTGTCATCTTGGCTGAAATTTTTGTGATTGGTCAGGAAATTCATGGCGCCTTACAACAATAATTTTTGCATTTTTTTTCTGTAAGTTGAGGATGTTGCTGTTCTTTGATGCACTTGGTGAGGTTGCTTTTTGGTCTTGGTGATTTCCCAAGTATGGTTGTTAAATGGTTGTCACGGAAACTTCATTGTCCATGCTGACGTGACTCTGGCCTGAAGGCAGAAAAGGGTTGAATCAAACATGCTGGCTTTTGGCAGTTTCTGAGTTTCACGGTTGATGGTGAGTCAACAATACAATAATTTTATTCGAATGGTGTCCAAAGATGTCCAAAGCATGATCTGAACATCACAAAATGGCAATGTGTGAAGCTGTGAAGCAGCAAGCATGCTTTTATACACTTCCATCCTCAAAAATCTGACTGCGTGAAGTATCCGCTTGCCCCAATCCTCACAAAACTGGGTCCAAGGTCTTTCACAGCGCCCGGGACTTTCGCAGCTGGTTGGAACGTGGCGAAGGCGATGGCGAGAAGGTTTTTACCAATGCACAGCTGCGAGAAAGGCGGGAGGATGGGCCCAGACCTCATGGAGCCTGAAGATTCCGACCTTGAAATTGCGCACTTTATCCGTTGTCCTGATGTACGCGGGAAACGGAAGCAAAGAAACGTCCTCAAAATATAGCGACTCCCAATCTTTTCCACAAAAATTGTATTTTCCCTCAAAACATGCATTTTTCCCCATATTTTTCACCAAACAATGATTCAAGTAGACCCGAACTGGTCTAGTGTGGTGGTTGCCTGCCGTGGCGTGCCGCCCTGGAGGCTTGCTGATCCAAATCGCTTCTTCGAGTCCCCCATTTTGTCGGGCAAATCTGATACTTTGCCATCGGAGGCCATGGGCCATCAGGGACTTCAGGTCAATTAGAAGTACTGATCTATGTAAGGTCTACATAAGATCAATATGTATATATGTGTACACATATATATATATATAAATGTATACATACATATGTATAAATATATAGATGTATTCATATATATGATATGTATATATATTTCTATATGTGTATATAAGCCTATGCAAGGGAATACCCACAAAATATGGCCCTGTATGGTACAGTACCTCCACTTTAGGGTCTTGAAATTGCCATTGGGGCTGGGCAAACAGAAAGGGTCCACACCAGGCTTGCAACTTGACGTTTGAATCACCATTAGCGCATATCCAGACAACGAGGGTGGTGACAGGTGGCATGGAGATTCTTGCGGCGAAAGGCAGTTCTTTCCCTGTTTGGTGTCATATAGAGGTTTCCTAGGTCGTGGTATCGTCGTCACCGGTTTCAATGCTAAGTCATGGTCACAGGTGAAATCGCTGGCGGAGAGGGCCGCGCCTTTGCTGGGTGTAGGTTCCGGCACCCAGCGTTGTGCTGTGAATCGCTGTGCGGCTGGCTGCTGGTCCCCTAAGATCAAAATGGCTGGTAAATGAACTTACTGGTGCTAAACGCAGGGAATTTTCGGGAATGATTTTTAGTCATCACTAGTAATAATCATCCCAGCAACCCCCAGCAACCCATAATATCCATCCATTCCCTGCGTTTAGCACCAGTAAATGAATGTTCATCCAAAAATTGTTTGGTATTGTAGTATTGATCCCCCTGGTTGAGGTGTCTCTGAGTCGGAGCATTTGGTGCGTTTGTTGGCTGCAGAACGTCTCAGTGCGTTGCCGGTGCTGCATTTCGATGGATCCATCTACGAGCTTTTGGACGTGGGCGGATTGGCAGGAGCCTATGATGATAGTTGCTCTGAGGGGTGCAGATAGACTCAGATAGCTGGTGCACAGATTGCAAAATTAGGATCACTTGGTGCACAGAGTGCAACGAATCAGGGAACCTCAAGGAAATGATGTGGGTTGGATGCCATAGTTTTCTCCGAACTAGAGGCCACTGGCTGTCCACTGTCAACCAAAGATAGCCAATCAAAAGGGTCGGGTCAGTCGGGTGATAACCTGGAAACCTGTGACATGCTGGGTGGCACCGAGTTCATCAGGTCGATTTTCACGGATCACCTTACCCGCTGTTTATGGTTCCATTGGCTCATTTTTGTATATTTTTGTCGCTTCCTACTGGCATCTTTTGAAGATCCAGAGGTCCACTAGGTCCACCAAGGCCACCATGATACCATGATACCATGGAGACAAGTTCAGGAGTGTTGCCATCTCTGGCGAACTTGCTGCACGTCGAACGCTGCGAGGCGGGACGGCGGGACGATTTCTTTTGGGTTGCAGGTGCATGGGTGAGAATTACAAAATTGATCAAAATTGCATGGAGTGGATGACACTAGACAGGATAGTTTTGTGAGTCAATTGACTTCCGTTTTTTGGACCCATTGCCATAGTCCTACGTCTGTCAAAATTCGGGTAAGTTTTCAAATGGAGCGGAGTGGAGCTCAGCTCCCACGGAAGGAGCGGCCGATCAGGTCTGCCCCAGAAGGTTCATGGAAAAAACCATGGGTAATTAGTAATTAATAATATAATATAAGATATTAACATCCATGAACAGTAACCTTTTCCTCTTTGCAACTTCCTGAAAGCTCTCAGGCCTGCAGGCTGTCAGAAACGTACAACCAGCACATGATCTGTATGATCGGGCGTTGCTCCCATTAATTGTGGGGAGCAAAACATCCTTTGCTCGTTTGATGCAACTCGCTCTCTGTTCAACTCAATGTCCAAGTTGAAAAAACATGTGCGTTGCATGGCCATTCGGGCAAATGTAAAGGTCTGTTGAGGTTTCTGCCATTTTCCGAAGTGAAAAAAACATGCAACGTAGATGCAGCATTCATTCCACATACATCCACATACCAGTTTTTGGCATTGGGGAGATTCCCTTGAGCCAAGATAAACATTTCCAAGGCAAGCGAGTGAACGTGCCCGTTTCATGTTGGAGACTCTTGTTTTGGTTGCATCAACAGTAACCACAAATGGTTGAACCACAAATCATGAATGTACCCTCTGGTAAACTAACATAACTATGGAAAATCACCATTTTTAATTGGTAAATCAACTATAAATGGGCCATTTTCAATAGCTTTCTTGAATTACCAGAGGGTAACTATCAAATATCAACCCTGAAGCATCAACCATCAACGGTGACCACTGGGAACAATTAGTAGCAATCAATGTACTAAACCATGAACGTAACTTATCAAACATCAAACATTAAAAGCACCGATGGAACATGAACCATGGAACATTAACCATTGAACATCAACCTTTCATCAATGGGAACCATGAATAGCAACCGTATTGTAGGTCAGGTGTATCCACCATCATATCCATTCATAGTGGCCACTACTATATAGTGAACATTGGCCACATGCTGTAAACATCTGCGGATGTAACTTATCAAACACCATCTGTGAAACACAAGCCATTTTCATGGAAAATGATTAAACATTTGTTAGTAACTTATCAAACATATATAATTATCTGTGAATGTAACTTAACAACCACTATTAAAACACTATTGAATGGCCATTGGCCATGGCCTATTTGAGCATCCCTCTTGGTCAGGCCTTGCAAGCTTTAGCAGTGGTCTTGCGTGGTGCGCACGATGACGCTCATCCCTTTGCAGCCCAATGCCGCCCGGTTTGGGAAATTCGGACGACTGGATGGGGACGGGTGGTTAAGGGAGGCGGAAGATGAAGGAACTTGGGTAAAACGATATCATCACATGGGAAAACAGAATAGCATATATATATAATTATATATATATACATCTATACGTACGTGTATATATATATATATACACATACACATACACGTATCTATCTATCTATCTATCTATCTATCTGTCTAGCTGTCTACCTGTCTATCTGTCTATCTATCTATCTGTCTATCTATCTATCCATCTATCTGTCTAGCCATCTATCCATCTATCTATCTATCTATCTATCTATCTATCTATCTATCCATCTCTCTCTCTCTCTATCTATCTATCTATCTACCTACATATATATATATATATACATGCATGCATGCATGCATGCATCCATCCATCCATCCATACATCCATACATCCATACATCCATACATCCATCCATCCATCCATACGTACATACATACATACATACATACATACATACATACATACATACATACATACATACATACATACACACACACATACATAAGTATCTATATGAATAGTATATAGTAAGAATAACCTCTCCTTTTTTGGGGCCAAGTCCTCATTTATAACATCTTTTTGCCACCTCTTTGCAGAAACTACGAAAAATATCATTACATGGTGGTCCAAGCCAAAGCCTAGGCCGGGAGCTGGCAGAGAAGCTTTTGTCGGAGGATTTGGAGAAAAAACTCTGGGAACTCTACATGAAGGTGCCAAACACTTTTGGGTTTGGGACAAGGAAACACTGTGGCGATTTTGATGGAAACTGTGGCCATTTTTTTTCTTCTGCAAAACAACACTGTCCAAAAAATAGTGCAGGTACGGTACCTTTGGAGATTTTTTGCATTTTGGCAATGGGAACTCTTAAGCATCCAATGACTGTTTCTTTTGGGTATAAAACGTGTCATCCCATGACATCTTATCGCTATCCTTTTCCCAGAGGTTGGTCGACCCACATTTTGAACGCATCCCAAAAGGACACTATTGTGCATAACAACTTCTTGCATGCTGGAGGCAGAAACATACGAAACCTCTCCGCACAGTTCGTTGTTGGTCGTAAACATATCTGGTCTTAACTTCCTTTGCTTTCAACGAGGTCAACAGGTTTCGTGCTGAGGAAATCTCTTTCGCCCCCAGAAACCCTTATGAAGTATATGGAAACGTATTGAATCTGCATATTGGGGCCCACCAAAGGGACTGTTTGTGATGAGGGGATTGGAACTACTGTCATCACCATGTGCTAATACGTTATACTTATTTTTGTTATATATCTATTGTATATATCTATTATATATATATATATTCGTACATATTGAATCTACCACCATTTTTGCAGGCGATATAGAGTTATGTCAACCCCCCAAAAACCCCCCAAAATTGCTAGAAGTTCTAAGATAATGATTGATATAAACCACTTGGATTTGTCGGGATTACTATACATCCTTAAGGTTTTGGTTGGTTCAAGCATCCCCATCCCGTATCCAGCCAGGTCTCAAGCTGTCCTCGCTTCTCAGCCTCCCCAGAGCATTCAGAGGCGTAGAAGCCATGGCGAGATGGATTGACTAGTCACAAAAGCAACCGTTGATTCAGTGGATTTTCAGTCCTCAACTGTCAACTGACACTGGTGGATTTTCTCATGACTTTGACCCAGAGCCATCCCAAAAGATGGCACAGGTTGAGACAGTGGTGAAGCAAGGTTTGGAGTTGCAGCTGTGCGTTTTGGAATGCTTGCTGTTGGCGGGCTATGACCCTCAAATCAGCAGGAGCTAATTGAGCGAATTGCTGCGGTTGCCTATGATCCTTCCTGCTGCGTTCCCTTCAAAGGTTTTGTGGGGCAAAAAACATAGAAACCAACAGTCCTCTCGCCCACTCAAAATGCCATTCCAGTTTAAATGTTTGTTGGTTTCCATCCAAAAACTGTTACTGCAGACCTTCTTGCCGTTTCAAAGACAGGAGAGATCCAGAGCAGATCTGCCGAATTGCCGAGGACGGGATGCTTTGGGGGACCTGGGCAACTTGTCCCTGATCCAGCACAAAAATCCGCCATCCCCAGCCAAGTTTGCACAGGAATGCTACCGGCAGCGGTTTTTGGGTAGCCTCCCAAGGGCAGCGCATCTGCATCACTGGCTGTTGGGTGATGCAGAAATTTGTCCTTCAGCTGCAGCGACCAGGATGGTGGGAGTGAGATACCCAAGGATGAGGCAAAACGCTCCATTGGTTCTGATTTGTTCCCCATAGTTTTAAGGTTCCACCTATGCCTCAATGAGCTGGGTATTTGTCAAAACCTTACTGTCTTCACACCAAAACAGCTTGCAGACAGCTGGCTGTTCTTCCACTCATTTGGAAAACCATACGTGGCATGACCCATCCTCGTTAAACCGCCTGCTTTGTTTCTTCAACCTCATTTTTTTCTGGTGAAAATCGCACAATTTTCTGGGTTGAACCCCAAGTTTTGTTGGTCTAAAAAAAAGCTTCCGGTCTTCCAGGCAGCCAAGCTCAGTGCGTGGGAGACTTGTGCCTGACTTTGTTCATTGAGCATCTGGATCTAGAGGACCTAGAGGCGATGTGGAGAGAAGCTCCACTTCTTTTTTCATCCAAAAGAGAATATATATATATAATCTCTTCAATCTCTTCCCCCCCTAGGAATGGTTTCGTGCTTGATCTATTTGATTTCGGCGGCCCATATGTGGGGTATGCAATGACGAGAGAATCTTTTCATCCAAGCCTCCGGACCTTGCAGGCTGCGCGCCATCCCTTGCTGTCGAGCCCAGAGCATGTGAAGCATTTGCACAAGCTTATCGAAGGCTGCGGCTGGGAAGATTGAACTTGGGAAGTTCTCTCGATTCAGCACTGCACACAGGGTGTGCATCTACGTTTTGCGGTGAGAAAGGATCAAGCCAAGAACCGGGAGAGCTGGGAAAAAGAATCTCTCCATTCTCGATAGGAACAGCATCCAATCGGATGGTAGATCTTTCCAATTTCCAGATGACGAGGATTCCAAGATGGGATGGTTTCTCGGTTGGATGCGTTCATCCTCCAAACGATTTTTAGATTGACCATATGGGCCATATATGGCTAAAGTGTTCATTTCCATATGGGATATGCCCAAGTCTAAAATGAGGTTCTAAAAAACCGATTCATCCACGAAGAGAATTTAGTGGGAAAATCGCATCCCCAAAGCTGGTGATTTTGCTGTCGTAAGTCTATGTTATGGATGGCTCTTCCAATTTTTTAACAAACATGTTTTGGAGTCCCCAGTAGTACACAAGCCATTCATCTGATCCTGCCAAATCATCCAAGAGACCATGAAACCAGCATGGTGACGTGGGGATCCCAGCAGAACCCCAATTTTTTGCTGGAACATGCCCCAGTACCTTGGTTCCTATCCACTTGGGCCCCTTGGGGGCCCCTTGGTTCGCGAAAATCTCGAGGCTGGGTCGAGATCTGTCGTCACGCCACCATCCCAGCGGAAGCCACCCCGGCCACCAAGCACTGTGGGCGTCATGTAGCGCTGGCGGTGCTCGCCTGGTCAGTGTGGGATCCAAGGGGATACCACTGGTGATACCACTGGCTTTATCAACCAACTTATAACTGGGAGGCACCAACTTGTGGTCATGAAAAGGGTTAACCAAATCAGTTTTATAGGTGAAACTGTTTTTGGATATCGAGTAGCAAAATGATAGAACAGTAAAATCCTACTAAAAAAGTAAGTAAGTGATAATTTGTTTTTACTTTTCTGGGGTAACTGTAGATCTTACAGCCATCATTTTAAGCATCATTAAGGGGGATCTATCTGATAAATGGTGGTTGATTGGTTATGCATTTTTGGGTTGTGAACCTACATACCTATGAAACAACCACTATAATGGCATGGGATAGGCGTATTTTTAATGACTCAGTGGAAGGAGTCACTCAGGCAACCCCACCACCCTTCGTGCTACCCTTTGGGAATGAAACACAGCAATGGACAATTCCCAATCTTGGGCATTGAAATGAGAAAATCATCCGGAAATGTGAGATGGGATCAATTAAGAACTCTTCGGGGATATGGCAGGGCTGTCATGTTTCCCGGAACTTGGCAAGGTACTTCTGGGATGCATGCCAGAGAGCTTTCGTCACCTGGCGTAGATTCATTGCAACTTCGAAGTTCCGGATTTCTTCAATTTCTTCCAGCCTTTTCCAGAAAAAATCTGCTGAAGATTCTGATTTGCTGGAGATCTCTCAGTTGTTTCGTTGCGAATTTCCCAAGGCGAGAGTCAGGGCTTCAGCTTCAAGCGCTTTTTCAGCAGCGCCGTCTTTCAGACGGAAATCCTGCAGGATGCCGTGCTCAGCATCCAGGAGCGATTTCGAACATGGCTTTTTTTGGTGCACCAAGGAAAAAAGCTATTCCTGTCTTTCTTTGGTCGATTATATATATATATACATATATATACACACACACACCATTTTTTGGTAGATTATAGACTTTTGTGGATTATATAATTATATAATATACATATAATATATAGTTATATATATATATTTAAAAAGGCATCTGGCCCAAATTCCCCCCGCCGTTCATCTCAGGGGTTTTTGCGGCCATATCCTTAGCGGGCGTCATTTGCCCGCGGGTGTTCCGGTCATCATTTGACTGCCTTCACTGGTTTCTGCGGGTGTACCGAACACCTGGGTTTTGGAATTTCTTTTTGGGCCTGGTCATATCTGATTGATTGATTATCTCAGTGCGCCTCCCCTCATTGGATTCCATCTCGGTTTTGCGGTGACCGATACCGCTATTTGGTTTCTGCAGGTGTACCGAACACCTGGTGCAATTGATCTCAATTTGGGTTGGAGATCACATTCCCTTTTTGGATCTCAACTGGTTATTTGCGGTGACCCACACTGCAATTTACAATTTCAATTTTGCAACACAATTTTGATTTTGCAAGGGACTGTACTGTGAGGAGGTTCCTTTTACAATTGCGGTCTTCCGTACATTGATGTGCTCAGTGCTACTCATTTTCCTTGTCTTTGTCATCGCATTCGATCTTGCCAAAGATTCCGTGCCTATCTGGATCTCAGCGCAGGCGCTTCAGACGAGAGCGCAGTGCAGCCAGACGTGCCTGGTTCCTACATCGCACAGGTGTGGCTACGCTGGACAGTCTTGGCCTTTGGAAATTGGTGAAGAAACTCTCCAATCACCATTCACGAGATTTACAGTTTTTGAAACACATCAAAAAGCACGCAAAGATGACACAAGAGCTTTGGCCCTGGAAGTGCACGAGCTGTCAGAGGATCAACAAGAAGACGGCCATGGAATGCGCACTTTGCCATTCCCATTGGTCAACAGGCACGCGACATCGGACCCAGCCCCATCAACAGAGATTCCAGGATCAGACATGGGAAGCCTGGGAAGCCGACGACCAAGCCTGGAATCGACAGAGGGCGCAGTCGAGATCGCAGTCAAGATCTTACAGTCCCAGAAGTCGCACAAAGGGGAAAGGAGGGAAGAATCAAGTCAAGGGCAAAAAGAGCAAAGGAGGAGAAGGAAAGAGCTCGGGCAAGAACCCAGCAGTGGACAAGCCAGCACCTTCCCCATTTGCACCATTGGCAGCGGAAATGCCACCATGGCCAGCCCAAGAGAGTGTGAGCTCCAATCTTCTCCCTGCATTGCCAACTGCACCAACCGGTGTACCCAATCAGGAAGTTGCAACCATGCTCAGGAGTGCTTACTCGGAGACCAATCCTATGCCACAGGATGTGAAAGAGTATATAGAGAGATTGGAAAAGGAGACGGCGAAGACCGTCACAAAAACGCTCCATTCGGCCACTACAGCCATGGGCAAAGCACAGAAGACCCTTGCAGAGACTTTGGATGCAAAGAAGCAGCACAAAGCCCGATGGACCGCACATATCACAGAAGCCATCAAAACATGGCAATCGCAGCTCCAGGATTTCCGCAAGCAACAGAATACCCTCCAAGAAGTGGCAAACAAAGCAAAAGCAGACATAGAGCAATACAAGACCAGCATCCAGCAGCTGACCACTACAGTGCCGGGTGCTTCCCTTGCAGCAATGCCTTCGATGCCGACTGCCACAGAAGTCGAGGACTCGGATGCAGACAACATGGCGGAGAAGCTACAGTCACAATTGCAAAAGGTTCTGAGATCATGCGCAGAGTCTCTGGGAATGGAACTGCCAGCTGTACCAGCAGATCTGGAGACAGAAGACCTGACCAGAGAATCAGAAGAGGAAGAGAATGTCAGAAAGCGGCCACGCTCGCTAGAACCCTTTGGAGGTTCATCGCAAGTTGGCCTGCCCTTGGATGCCAAGATGTCGTGAATGAAGGCGGTGCTGTTCCAGTTCTTAGCAATGGTTCGCACGACGCCATCATTGGGGCAAGAATCGCTGATGCCTATGTGTTTTCGCCAGAGACACATGCAGCATGCCATTCTTTGCCGCAGCCATTTGATCCTGACATCCTCCTTCACTGGCGCCATTCCATCCAATGGGAACCGAATTTCCAGAACAATTTTGCAGCAGTTTTAGGTGCTTGGAAAAATCGTTGGCAGTTTCTCTGTGAGGAATTTCATGAGGGTTTGAATCACGCTCCAGATTTTCATGCCACATCAGCACTTTGCACTGCACCATCTCATTGCTCGATCAAGACAGATCGGTTTGCCTCGCATGATGCTGCTCCTCTTGTTCGCATTAGTGAGCTCCGTAGTTGCATCCGATCTAAGAACAGTCATGATAGCATTTCGAAACAGAAAAATGTCCAATTTTGTCCTGATGTTTCAGTTCACATTGGCCTCGATGATAACTTACAGATGGCTTTGGTACCTTTTGGAATTGACGATCTCAAAACTTGGTCAGATAAACCTTGGCAAAGAAGATCCAAAAAATCCAAAACAGTCCATGCTAGCCGACCAAAACATGAGCAGTTCCGCACAACTGACGAGCACTACAATGTTCCGTCCAGGTGGTTTCAACAAACTGAGGAGGTTCAAGAGCAAGAGCAGACCGATCCTGAGGATGCCAACCATTTTCTGCATGAAGCACCAGATGCGCTGCAAAATTTGTTTGACGCACTACAAGAGGAAGGCCTTGTAACAGGGCCGAGAATCCTGGATAGTGTATTCATCAGAACCTGGTTTGTTCATCACCTTCATACCCCTCAATGCTTTCACTCTAGGATGATCGAAATCAATGGTCACTGGAGGTTTTGGCATGCTGAGATCCTCGGAGCTTGGAGAGATCAAATCTTTCCTAATGAACTTGTCATTTACGACATCGTCAGACCGAATCCGCCTCGATCTGTCCCAATTGGACAGGAAGTCCTTTTTGATGTCATTTTGTCGCAAGGTCTAGATGCTCCGAGACGTGCAGGACTTGTCACCATTCTGCAGAGAGATGATCGTGCTGGACGTGCAGCCTTCTCAGTTGGGGTCTCACTCTCGGAAAGAACCAGCGGACATCAAATTGTGCAATCTGCAGAATACCTCCATGAGTGCAATCTCCATGCCTGCAGAATACGTCATGGTCGAGTGCACATACCATTCACGATGGAGCCTGTTCATGACATGTTGGACGGAGATTCCTTTACTGTTGCAGTAAGCACACAAAATACTCTGAACAATGAGAGCATTGATGTGCCTATGGAACCACCCCAACCCAATCCGCCTGAGCATTCTGATCATGACATGCATTTTGATGAGGAATCAATCGATCCTTCACCCAGCATTGCCAATACAGATGACCTTTTAGTTGGAGTGCACATCCATAGGCTGGGACACTGGCAGAGACATGGAAGAATCAGATGGGACACCGTAGCTCATGCGCTCATTGACGCGGCTGCGGTTGTGAACCTGCCGCCATCAGATTTTGTGGGGCTCCACCATTTGCAAGTTGAGCCTGATGACCACCATGATGAAAGCCATTCCATCATTCTGCAGCATTTTCTGGATATCGCACCAGGTTCGACGGAAAAACTCATCCTCATCGACATTGAAATGCATGATCCGGCCAGAACTCACACTTTTCCCAAAGCACCGGTTGTTTCCAGGCGTGTTTACAAAGTTGTCCCGACATTGGTCAGACAACATATTTTGCACCTTACACACACGGCTGCGTATTGTGAGTGGCATGATCAGGACTGCATTGTTTTTCACAATCATGAGCTCTGGCAGAAACAGGACCTCGGACCGAGACAGTTTGAACATGGCATGTACCTTCGAGTGATTGTACCCCCACCGCCATCTCCACAGTGGGAAATCAGCCGTGCCATCCAAGCGTTTCATGATGCTGTTGCATGTTTTGACTGCCCGGCTGCCTACCATGTTGCAATTGCGTCTCTTGAACCTTCAACGGGCAGTGAAGCACAGGACACACATGGTTCCAGATTGCGGCAAGCCAAATCCTCTGAGAATGAAGAGGCTATTGACGTCCCTATGATTTTGGGACCGCATGTCCGAATGAGACGCTTAAGACCAGAGCATGATGGATCTGAGACCTGGCTTTGGAACCTGGGTCAGATTTTTTCCACGCAAGCTGTTGCTGAAACGGTTGAAGGAGATGCCTATTTATATGTCCAGACATGGTACATCGACCATCAGCGACACACAGTGTGTAGAAGTCCACGCCCGTTAAGGCTTGATTCGGCCGCTGTTGCCTGGATTGATGAGCTCAGACATCTGTGGAGGGATCTCATGGACAGAAGAGCAGTTTTTTCGATCTATGTTGTTCAACCAAGACCACCACAGCCACGCTTCCAAGATTATGCCTGCCATGTGTTAATTGAGCAAAACCTATTGCCAGGTCTTTCCGCGGGAGTCTTGACGGCATTGTTGGAAGGACCCCGCAGTGATGCCATGATTCAGGGTGCGTTTTCCACACCGAGATTCCTTAGGAAGCAAGACCTCATTGATATCATGGAGATTGAGCATTTTTGTACTGGTCGTAGATGCACAGCGTACCGACACCGTGAGCCGGTACACCTTGTGGTTGCAACTGAAGTTGAGTCTGGTTACAGCATCAAACTGTACATTGAGTCTCCAAGAGAACAACTGCCACACGCACCAAGTGAACAACCCAATCACTTTGAAGATTTGTCGTTGATGCAGACTGGTTCGACCCTCTCACAAGCGACCGGATTTGCCGTGGACATGCCACCACAAAATCCTGAATGTGCTCCGTATCAATTTGATGCACACGCAGCCACATTCCAGCCTGGACAGCTATTTATCAGTGGACAGACTGAATTTGTTCAAGACCTCTATGCGCAATGGACACAAACTGCGTTCAGCTGGGAAGAGGAAGCAATGTCGACTGATGTCATTACATGGTTTGTTGACCACCGACATGGCCAAGCCAATTGCCTTTCCAGTAGAAATGTCCGACTGTTTGCCAACTATTTTGACTGGGAACGACTCATCGAGCAAGCCTGGCAGGACTTGATTGTTGATGGCCTCCCACGAGAATTTCATTTTGTGCTACCACACCCGCCGCGATTGGAGCACAACGCAGTAGGGCATGTTATAGTAATTCAGTCACCGCATGAAGCATGGATTTCGTCACTTGTCACTGTCTTTGATAGCTTCATTGGATCAAGACCTGAAGACTTCATGAGACTTGTGATTACCACTGATGAACATGTTCAACACGGCCGAGTTGCGCAAGCATGTGGCTACGACAGCAGCCAGATCAATTGCCAGGTATGGATTGATGAACATCACTTGCCACCAGGCGTCGTATGGCCAGGCAGATCAGGTCACAACATGGTTCTCCAGGTCCATCGTCAGGTTGCGGTTTTGCCACAGCATATGCAGGCTGCCCAGGGCCTGCACATGCTGCAGTTTTCGGCTACAAAAAAGACTGCTGTATCGTCAAGACAATTCATTTGTCTTGAGGATCTTGTACCTGCGCCTAGCCAACCAGTTGCCCTTGTCCCAGTCAAACTCAAACATCTGATTTATGATCCAGCTCTCCCGAACGAAGTTTTTCTTGTCGATGGCCATAGTTCACATGACATTGAAAATGAGCTTGCGTTGCTTGGACACCAACGACATGTCTATATCATGCCAGGAACTGGTGTTGCTGTCACAGTGCCTATCGATTGGAAACAAGAGTCTGAGGTCATTCACATCATCTACTGCCCAGCTCAGGACACGGCTAAGGAGTTCCAGGATATCATCTTGCACAGCACCAATGAACCTGTTGATGAGCTCCTCCACATGAGGATTTTGCACCAGCACGATTTCCTCAGAGCTGTTGTAGTTTCTGTTCAACACCTGCGCACTGGCCTTGTCCAAGTCAATTTTCGCAATAACAGACCAGAACTCGAGGAGCATCGACATCCGGCACGACAATGCAGTGTATGGCCATCGCCGCAGCCAAGTCGCCGCCATTCCCAAATTTTCAAACCAGATTGCCCAGAGCGCGCCCGACCTTTGCATTGCCTTTCACTTGGCATTTCACACCATGATCTTAATGCCTTTTTTCAGTCTGCGCAGCATGTGTTATGTCCTTGGTACAGCCACTTGGAGTTGCCGTCCTTTGTTCGACAAGGCATTGATCACACTGCCACTACTGAAGGCATTGAATTTGATGCCACAGGTTTTGATCGCTTGATCATTTATACTGATGGTTCATCCAAACCAAGTGAACGTAGAAAGCCACCTCTCAGAGTCGCTGAGCAAGGCACGCCCGATGCCTGGGCTTTTGCGGTCATTGGCGAGAGGTATGCGACAGATGGTCATCCTGGCTCACTCACCCTCCTGGGTTGGCAAGCCCAGTGTGTCATCTATGAGACTGACAGTAATGCTTTCACGGGCACAGACCAGATTGGTGCAGAATTCTCTGAAAGGGAGGCACTGCTCTTTGCGGGGCTTTGGAGACTCTCGCTCAATAGCAATATCCCCACAGTTTTTAGAACAGATTCGACAACCACTGCAGACCAGGCTTTTGGCGTTGCTGGTTTTACGCATTTCCACACCACACATGAATTGCTGCGTGGCACTTTTCAAGCCTTACAGTCCAGCCTCGATGCAGATGCACTGGACTATTCTCATGTCAGAGGCCATGCTGGAGACATTTAGAATGAACTAGTTGATTTCCTTGCAAAATCTGAAGCATCCAAAAGCCATAATTTACGCAGACAGCAGCTGAACCTTTCGAAACTCAAGCCGGTTATTCCATTTCTTTGGATGTTGTTTGAGCAACACGCTGGACTGCCGCATTTTACTCCATATGGCTTTGATGTGCATCCCCCCAACATTCCGGACGTTCAATCATCATTGCCCTCACAGACAGAACAGGCTGCCACACTGCAAGAGGTCCAATTCCATCTCAGCCTTGCCACACTGAACGTTGGATCACTCTTCGTTGGGCCGGACGGTTTTGGAGGCAAGTTGAGTTTCCTCAGAGGCCAAGTGCAATCGCATGCCCTCAACATCGTTGGGATTCAGGAGGCTCGTAGCCCAGCAGGAATGAGCATTGCTGAGGACGTGTTGCGACTAGCAAGTGGAGCAGACAAGGGCAAGTTTGGGGTGGAGCTATGGGTCTCTCTTGTGCAACCGTATGGATATCTGGGGACCGTGCCCCTCCATTTCAAAAAATCCCATTTCCAGGTTGTGCACAATGATCCTCGGAGACTGTTTGTTCGTCTATTGAATCCACATTTTGATTGCCTTCTTATTGTGCTCCATGCACCACAGAGTGGGCAACCACTCCCAGTAAGAAGACAATGGTGGCAGGAGACGATTACACTCCATGACGCAATTTGCCCAAACATTCAGTCATATGTGATGATCGATGCAAATGCAAAAACAGGTCCAACAAGTGAACCCATCGTCTTTCAACATGATGATTCCGCATCAGGTAACACAGAATTTCTTTTGGAGTTCCTTGGACATGCGGGTTTATGCCTTCCAAGCACCTCCGATGTGCACCTGGGAAGCCATGACACTTGGACCTCACCTGATGGACTTGCGAGCCACAGGATTGATTTTGTTGCAATTCCAGGCCAGCAATTGAGTAGCTGTATACTTTCACAAGTTTTGCACACCATTGACACCGGCAACTCACATGCTGATCATGCAGCATGTGCGCTCCAATTGAAATGGAATGCTATCAGCTGTGCCAAACAACCTAAGCCTGTGAATCGTGCACATGACCGTGACAAGATTGCCACCTGCCAGCAGAAACTTGGAACGGCGACAGTTTGCATTGAACAGTGGGATTGCGACATTGAAAAGCAAGTTGTTAACCTCAACTCATCGTTGCATGACTTGCTGTCCACAGCTTGCCCCAAAAGGAAGGACCAACCCAAAAAACCTTATATCACAGCTGAGACCTGGCAAATCCGTACCACAAAGCTTGCACTCAGCAAACGTATCCGGCAATCCAGAAAGCAGCAGCGACATGATTGTTTAGCGTTTTTCTTCCGGAGTTGGTCCGGCAGCCTTGACGATGATGCCCAGTCCAAAGCTCTTGCCCACAGAGTTTCTGTCTGGTGCAGTCATGTTGCATTGACTAGTCGGCATTGGGACTGCGCCCGAAGACTACGTCACCACCTCCGTCAAGATAAGACTGCCAGCCTTAATCAAGTCATTGCTGACACTGGCCCACATGCATCAGCAGGCATGCTATTACACGCCTTGAAACCATTTATTGGTTCCACGAATCTGAAGAAACAGAAGAAACTTGGACTGCCGATTGTACGCCAAGCAGACGGTACACTTTGCCGTACCCCCCAAGAAGCCCAAAGCAGATGGATTGAATTTTTTGCTGACATGGAGGGCGGCCAGAGAATGCCAATCGAGACATACATGGAACATTGGCGACATGGCCTGTCCCAGTTTGCTGCAGAAGGACCAATCCAGCTCAGTGTCTCAGACATCCCCACGCTTACCGAACTTGAAAATGCATTCAGAAGAGTGACGCCTGGCAAAGCAGTTGGCATGGATAACATACCACCTGAGCTGTGCCATTACTGCCCATCAAGCATGGCGAAATGGTGTTATGCGATCATGATGAAAACTGCTTTGTTTGGCCAAGAATCCTCCGCCCACAAAGGCGGACAAATGGCAGTTGCATGGAAGCATCGGGGCGATGTAAGAGACTGCACATCCCATCGCTCCCTGTTGATATCTAGCCATGTTGGGAAAACCATCCATAGAGCACTGCGGCAAAAATATCATTGCTTCTACACCCAGTACATGCAAAATCAGCAACTGGGAGGCAGACCCCATATGCCTGTAGGCATTCCACTGCACATGACACGTGCCTTTTTGCGTCGACAGGCGAGGACACGTCAGCCAACTGCCATGATATTTTTAGATTTGACTGAAGCCTTCTATCGCACTTTGCGACCACTGGCGATTGGAAGTGAGTTGTCAGATCATTGCATCAGCCTCATGTGTCACAGATTGGGTTTTGATCCCGATGCCATGCATGAACTCCATGCGCTGCTCCAAGAGCCCTCTGCCTTAGATGAGGCTGGGGTGCCAGCACACGTATCTCGTGTCTTCCGTGCGCTGCACCGAGACACATGGTTCAAGTTAGGTGAACAAACTGACATCGTCAGGACAGAGATCGGTTCGAGACCAGGCGATTCGTTCGCCGACATAGTTTTTGGTTTCTTGTGGGCCAAGCTATTGAAACGCATCGAATCCACTCTGGTTGCGCATGACATCCTCGAGCATGTCCCTGAAGTCTCGATGCCAGACCCATATCAAACACAGACAGGCAGATTGATTCCGCTCTTAGGGCCCACATGGATGGACGACCTGAACATCCTGCTCACTGCTTCGAGCAATGGCGCACTCGTTGCCAAATGCCAATTGACTCTTAGCATTTTGCTGGACGCTTGTGCCAACTTCCAGATGGTTCCTAACCTAAAGAAGGGAAAAACAGAAGCAATGCTCACTTTCAGAGGAGCTGGCTCCCGTGAGCTCCGACGGACCTACTACAGCCACAACTCTGGCCTACATGTTGTATGCGAACATGCCACGCACACGATTGCTGTAGTAAGTAGGTACCTCCATCTCGGTGGGGTTGTCCACCACCGTGACTGCAACCGACAGGAGATCAAACGACGCTTGGCCATGGCTCACCAGGCCTTCCAACAGCACCGTCGACTCCTGTATAGAAACCAAAGCATTGCGTGGCACACTCGATGCCAACTGTTTCAATCGCTGATTCTCAGCAAACTCACATACGGTATGGAGAGTTGGACTTTCCCCACCAAGAGCTGCCGAGACCAGATCCACATCGGCATTATGAAGTTGTATCGCAGATTGCTTGGAGTCCGATACTCAACACACCTTTCGGACACCGAAGTCCTTGTTGAGACGGCGCTCCCAGATCCCACCGAACTCTTGCGAAGAGAACGGTTGCGGTACTTCGGCACTCTGCACAACTGTGGAACTCAAGCACATTGGGGAGTCTTGCAAGACGACCAGGAGTGGATCGAGTTATTACAAGATGACCTCACATGGCTTTGGCAACAGCTTCGAGGGTCCACAAACTTGCTTGACCCAGTCCATCATTTTGCTCAATGGCAAGATCTCATTGTCCATCATGGCAAATTTTGGAAAAAGCTCATTCGGAAGGGCATTACACATGCAGCTTTGCAGAGAAAGAATGAATTTCATGCCATTGAACTCCATGTCAGAATGGGACAGATGCTTCAAGCAGAGGCCCTTGTGGATAAGCTCCCAGAGCACCAAGAATATGCAGCTGGTTTTGTGCGCTCAAATCACTTTGGTTGCATGCAGTGCAGAAGCAAATTTGCCACTTATGCTGGTGAGTGCGTACATATGTGCCGCTCACATGGACAAATTGCCCCTGAAAGACGTCTTTTTGATGCCACTCACTGTCCATGCTGCTTAAGGGAATTCCACACACATTCCAAGGTGCTTGCACACCTTCGCCAAGTCTCGAGATGCCGGGAGATTCTGCAGGGACGACGTTTTCAGTGCAGTCCTGTCCCGGGAGCAGGTTCCCTGATTGATACTGCTTTACATGATGCAACTGATGGAGCCCAGCCCTTTTTACAGGCCCATGGACCACAGCCGCAGAACCATGTACGCAGACAAAGGGATCCCTTTGACTTGGTATTTTTGGAAGCAGTTTATCTTCATTTGCTAGATTTACCGCCGACAGAAGATTTGCGCACATCGCTCTGCGCATTCATCCAGACTTATCCCATCAGTTGGACGCAATGCCAGCGCACATTGCATCAGTTTATTGCGCAAATCACACCTGACGACGCTTCGACATTGGCATTTACGATGCAAGAGGTTGTGGATTGTTTGCGTTCTCTGGCAGATGCACACAGTTGGCCTTTCCTTCATGATGTGGAACAAGCCCCAAGCACCAAAAGTCCAACCACATTACCAGAATGGGAGACTTGGTTTGCTGACCTTGCGGTTAATCCACCGGACCACTGGAGTACATTGCAGCCAATGCCACGAGCACTCACCAAGCAAAGGATTCTCCTTCACGCTTTTGCAGGCAGACGGAGGCATGGCGATGTTGAATGGTATCTTGAGCATTTGCACCGACAATGTGAAGGTTTTGTCATCCTGACAGTCTCACTTGACATCATCATCGATTCCATTTATGGTGATATCGCAAAGAAGGAGACACGTTCCTTTTGGCTGCATTACATTCGCATGGGATACATTGCAGGTTTTCTTGCGGGACCTCCTTGCAATACGTGGAGCAAAGCACGATCCATCATTTTGCCGGATGGGAAGGGACCTCGTGTCATTCGGACACCTACGCAACCTTGGGGCATTGAGTCACTCAGGTCTGGTGAGCTATTCCAAATTTCCTTAGGCACCATTCTCCTTGGTTTTGCACTCGAAGCCATGCTGGCTCTTGCGTTGCATGAAGGTTCTGGTATTCTTGAGCATCCAAAAGACAGTGGTGACCCGGAAGCTGTGAGCATCTGGCGACTGCCGGTCGTCCAAATGCTCTTACAGCTCCCAGGAATGCGGCTTGTTCACATGTCCCAAGGGCTCTATGGCGCCCCATCGCCCAAGCCAACTACGTTTCTGACATTGCGACTGCCCCATCTTGAGAGCTGTTTGCACAAAGGCATGCTATCTAAGCGATTGCCGACAGGAACTGCAGTGGGCAAGGACGACAAAGGGCACTTCCATACAGCCCCATTGAAAGAATATCCACCTGGTTTATGCCGTGCCATTGCAGCGGGCTTTTACCAGGATTTTTGCATCCCAGGCATCAGTGCGGAGCACGAGCCGTTGCCGACTGCGCTTTTGGATCAGTGCACTAAAATGTGTGATCGCGCTTTCGGCCAGTTCATCGGACATGACTGAAATGGCTTGTTCTTTGGATGGAATTCACCCGAGCCTCTGCCGCAACGACGCAGTTTCGATGAGCAGGAGGAAAAAAAATATATTTAAATACAGTAGATTACTACATTTTTTTCGGTAGCTTGATTAATTCCTTTTTTTCAAAACAAACGAAACCAGTTGAGAAATGCATATATCCCTTTGCCAAAAGGGAGTTCTACTAGGCATTTCTGGGTGACCTGCTGGATAGGAGCGTGGCTTCCTGATGTCTGACAGCCGCAATGCCAAGCATTTAGCAGCACGTTCAGTCGCCAGGTGGGATAGCAAGCCTGAAAGGCTTGGGATGGGAGGACCACACCGAAAAATCCATGTTCTGGAGAATCATGGAGTAGATTTCGAGTAGTTTCTCTCCCTGGATTGCGATTTCAGAATTTCCTCTGCTGTCAGGGGCCTGGTGAGCATGGTGGCGAAAGCCTTTCGTTTGGATGGTCCCATGGCGCCTGCCCATCTGGCCATCTCCAAATTAGCGCCTCGAAAAAGGGTAGGGTGGGGAAAACTCTCAGAATCTCATGAAACATGAACATCATTTTCCATGAACAGACCATGAACATCGTCATTTCGGGGCTATCCACCATGTTTCAGACGAAGCAAATTGGTGCCCGAATGTTCGGACCTTCCATTTTTGGGATCATATGGGTATAGGTCAAGTCATTGGGTGCCCCCAAAAAATTAGATGCTAAAAAGAACGTTTAAGACTAAACATATCCAGTTCAATCTATGGTCTCATGGGGCGCGACTGGAGATGAGGCGAGCATGGCATTCTTGGATGAACATGCATGCCTCGAGTTCTGGAGGTGCCAGAGAGAGAAGGGTTTCACCTGGAAGATGCGAAAACTCACGTCTTTTCACTTGCAAAAAGGAGATTGAGGAGTAATAAGTCTTAGGCAACTTCATTTCTATAGTAACCTGGTGAATAGTGACCCTGTGGTTTTGAATGAACTAGGATCCCATTTTCTTTTTGAGAAGCCACAGTGCCTCCGCACACTGAGCAGGTTGGACTATCCCAAACGTCAAGGTGCTTTTCTGATCCTCCACGCCTGGCTCATGGCTTTCCCAAGGCAGAGCTGTGTTGGGAAACCTCCGAAAATCCCCCCAAATCCCAAGGAAGAGAGTCTTTTTTCGCAACTGGCTATTTTATTCAGTTACTGAGTATACCCCCATTTTCAGACCCCACACCCAAACGGATCAAAGTTCAATGGGCCATTTTTGGTTCGGACACTTCGACCCAGCCCGAGGACGTCATGTGGGGGGCCCGAAAATTGGGGATGTAGGATGCCCAGATCCATCGAATTGGTCCAGATTATATATATATACACAATATATATATATAATATATATATATGTATATTTTACGGACAACCAAGGGTTGCGGCATCTCCAATTTTGGATACAGTCATGTGATGGGTGCTTTTCATTTGAGAGCCTACGCATTGAAGAAGCTTTAAGATACTGACGACCAAAGAGGCATAAACAGAACGGCTGTGGCGAGAGCTGAATTCCCTAATCATTCCATCACGGACCAAAAGGCTACATCACACATTGTTCTTCTGTCATAGTATATGGTCCATCAACAAACCTGATGAAACTGATATTTGTGTCCATTTATGTCAATAGATAGTTTGAACATCAATCTGACAGTGTTACATCATTTTCAACATGGTCATGGTGGTCGGAGCCGAATCCAGCCATGCCAGGAATCTGCCGGCGCTGTTGGAATTGCTGTGTGGCTTGGGGCAGGGACCTGCTGCGGAATATGTTGCAGAACTCTTGCAGGCCAGGAGGGGCCATCCTGGGCCCCAAAATTGGGGAGATTTCATGGGGAATATGGATGATTTCATGGCGGGAAAGACTCCTCTGTTACAACATTCGATGATGTTTTCCATGGATTTCTTTGGGATTTACCGAGGATTTTGCAAGATGTTGATCCGGAAAAATCATCATGTGAGAAACTCTGGCTGCCTGGCTGCCGTAAAGAACTACCATAGGGATGGTTTCAATCGCACATACAAATGGTGATGACTTGGGCTTGGGGATGGTTTATATATACTGTACATATATATATATATACTGTACGTATATATATATATATATACTGTACGTATATATATATATATATATACGTATATATGTGTATATATACTGTATATATATATATATTATGGCCTTGGGTGAATCCCACATTAATCACCCAAAATCGCCAGCCATTGGTGGCTTGATCACTGCTTGATGCCATGACTCATTGCCAGGCTCCACTGAACATGATGCGCTTGCCCTACCGCTTGCTACGTCACATCACGGAGTTTGAGGCGAGAGGTTTCGAGCGCCAGAGGGGGGGTTCTACTGTGGGTACAGTATGTAGTAACCCCCAAAAAGATGGAACCATCATTTATTGATCCTGTTGTCAAGGAGATCACTGAAGTAATTTGGGTTTAGAGATCCCGTCATCAGCAGGATGATTAGTATCAATGGCGAATGCTACAAATTACCCTGGGATAAAGATCAGGATGAATTTGATGATTGTTGGCATCTTTTAAAGTGTAATTATTATTCTTATCAATATGACCCTATCATTCTTATCATTATCATCTTAATATTGATATAATATGATTGTGATTGTTATCATTGCATTACCATTAATATTTCTTGTTACTAGTACTATTTCTTTTATTTTTACTATGTCACGTCTATTATCATGATGATGCTATATGATAGTGTCGGTTAGTATTATTATTACTTATTACTATGACTTATTACTCGTACTTATTACTATTACCTATTACTATTACTTAGCACTATTACTTATTACTACTTTTTTATGACTACTACTCATTTCCATTACTTATTACAAGTACTCTATTCTATGTTTGTCACTATTATTAGTAAGTACGATGATGATGATGATGATGATGATTATTATTATCAATATTGTTATATGATGATGCCGCTGACGGTGGTGATGATGATGATTATTATTATCATTATGATGATGGTGATGATGATGATACTATTGCTGTACTATGTGATAGCAAGTACGATAGCGCCTACTACTACTACTACTGCTACTACTACTGCTACTACTACTACTACTACCACCACTACTACTACTACTACTACTATCATGAATATTATGATGGTAATTCTAGATTCTATGTTCATTCTTATTATATGTTTCTTCTCCTTTTTCCATTATCAAATTCTTCTCCACAATAGAATTCTTATTAGGTTACCATATCTATTATACTTATTACGGTGCCATTTCTATCATCACCATCATCATCATCATCATCATCATCATCACTATTATTATTATGATAATGATGGCAATGATGATGAAGTTGCCAGGAGAGTGCCCCATCCTCCAGCACTTGGCAACTGCGCGCGCAACTGCTCCTGCAACAACCAGCGGCCTGGCCTTGGCGTAGATCCGTTTTTTTTTTTTCAGGGAAAAACATCGGTTTTTAATAGCTAAGAATCGGTTACTAGTGGCTATACTCGTTGATATCTTTCGGGTATTTCTTTGTTGATGGTTTCTAACGAGTGTTATGATTGTTGATGATTGAAAATGGTTTCAATGGTTAGCATTTTTTTTTCCAATGGTCAATAGTTTGTCTTGTTGATGGTTCATCATGGCTAATACTGTGGAGGGACGAAATGCTGCGTCCGTTTGCAACTATTAAACCCTGAAAGTAATGGGATCAGCCACCTATCAAATGGTGCAGTATTTTGTCCATCCACAGTAGTGGCTAGAATGGTTCATGGTTTTGAGACATTCCGTCGGTTGATCAACGAATCTCTGCGTTGATCTGGCTGAAATCCAAGGAATGAAAACTTGTTCGCATCTGGTTGTGCATTGTCTTGTAGTTCAAAGCTTCCCAACGATGCGTTTTTCATGTTTCTCTAGTTGTAGACCAGGCGAATCATGGAAACAATAGAATCATGCAAACGATGTGGTCGACGCAGGATATTTACAAAACCATTTTCTTTAAGTTTGATCTAAAATTGGGCAGCCTTCTTTTTTTTTTGAGGGGAATTTACTAATGACAGAAATCACCAACCAACCCCCTTCTGCGGGCGCTGTGTGAAGGCTTATGTGGAGGAGCTGGCCCTGCGGCTCTTGGGCCTGGAGCTTCCAGAAGCTCGGACTGCTCGGAGCTTGTGGCCCTTGTGGCCGTTGTGGCCGTGGCATGGGTTATGACAGGAACATATATCAATTATAGTGAATTAGCCTCTGGTAATTTAACAGTTTGCTATTAAAAATGGTGATTTATCGTGAGTTTTTCCATTAACAATGATTGATTATGTTATTAGTCACTAATTGATTGGTTGATATGGGTTATTATATCACTATTATAGTGATTATTAGTGAATGAGTAATAGTGATAAATAGTGATTAATGACTAATCGTTACTGATTAATGGAATGATTAATTATAGTGATGAAAATAGGGGTTACTGATTAACAGGAACCTGGTATACAGTATACGGGACTATCTGAAGGATATTATGATCCCAGATAGGTTGATGATTATCATCTGGGATTATCAGGGTAAGTTCACGACCTCACCGTTCTCCCTGGAATCCTGGTAAGGGAAATCATCCCCAAATGGCCTTAAGATGATTGGCCTGAATTCAGATTAGTGAAATAGTATAATGTACCCAGATCTCAGATATATGATAATAATAATCTATAATCATTCTAATGGTAATGATCTATATCATGGATAATACTGGATAATACCATTGTCGATTGGTTATCGAATAGGGGATATGCCAAAAATACCTGGCTGAATGGGGATGAACCAACCCATAGGAATATTTACTAACCAACCAGTATTTCATGGGATAGTGGTGTTTTTCATGGTTCACTTAGGCCCAGCTGACCCGACCTGAAAGAGTCGGGATCGTTGCTTTTTTCGTCCCACATCGAACTGAGGAATGGAAACCATGTCAGCTCGTTTCAACAGTTCTTGAGATTTACCCTCTGGTAAACTAACATAGCTATTGAAGGTTGCCATTTATAGTTGAATTACCCACAAAAAATGATGATTTTCCATAGTTATGTTAGTTTACCGGAGGGTAATTGGATACCCATCTTAGCCTATCTTCCAGTCTTTTGCCTTAAGCATGATTTTCCGGCCATAGAAATGCTAGTTTTCTGGCGTCCAAGTGAAGGAAGCGGAAGGAACTGAAAGTGGAACCTGGAGTTGTTTCAAAGACGTTGAAGATGTTCCTCTACAACTACGCAAACCAGGAATTTTGGGATCAAAGTGAAAGAACTAAGAAAAGCTGAATTTTTGTAAAGCACACATTTTTTGTCCAATCCGAATGGTGAAATCTTCAATTTCTCACAGTTCAATCCCTAGGAGAACCACGTGTCCAGCTGTCGAGTCCTGTGCGCCGGCTCCACCGGAGTGTTGCAACAAGACAGGTGGGTACCAGGTGGTCATGGTGTGTGGTCAAAACCGTCTAACTACAGGGATATTTTATGGGGATATCATATATATATATATATATCATATATGTATATATATATGTATATATCATATGTATATATATATATATATACAGACACAGCCTATAATCCCAATATTGTCTCCCATTTTGCTTGGGAGATCATTTTCATTTTTTTTTAATGGGACAATTCTGGGATATATCACCAGCCTGAGGGGGTTTATACGGTGGGATTGATATGATTTAAGCAACACAGGTGGGTGTGATAAGCATTTTATGGGATAAATTCAAATTGAACATTTCAAGGGGCAAACATGGGAACAGCATCGATATGTATGCATGTATGTATATATATATACACATATTTATATATTTAAAACTATATATATATGTATAATGTTTCTTTTTTGGAGGATTTATAGGGTCATTTTGTGGGGATATACAATGGTATACATACCCAGCAGCCAAGATGATGTCTTTTAAAGCCATCCAGTGCTGGGAGTAGCCCCTGGCAGGCCCCCTGACCCAGAAAGGAGCCCGCGTCTGGAACTCAGAAGTCAAGGGATGCAGTTTTTATGTCAAGGATAGGGTACCAGCAGAGAAATGAATGGTTTGAACCTGTAGCAGCAACGAAAAAATTGGACGCAAGGCCCCGAGAATGAGGTTGTCTCTTTTTGGAGCGAAATGAATGTTTTTTTTAGGTCTCCATAATCTTTTATCATACTCAAGTAGGGAAGATAGGGCCGTGTTAAAGCATCCGGTACTCATTTTCCTCCCATTTGGATGTGGTTTGTGTAGCGTCTTGTAATTGGGCAATTGCCAAAAACAACATAGAACCTCCAATTTTGAGTGTCATTTGCTTCTAGCCATGACTGGCCATAACCATACATTTCCAGCCCTCGCATCCCTATTTTCTTCCATGCGGATCATTAAAGGCTAGCCATGTCATGGTTATCCTTTGCGGTTCCTGTAACTGGTGGAGGATTTTGGACCAAGCCAACCTGGATGGTCATAGCCCAAGTCTGAATATGGCTTTACATATACCCAACATAAGGAAGCCCTAAATGGCTCATATCTTTTAGACCTGACCCAGCCACTCAGGTTCGTCCCAAGCTCACATGGTGCGCCGTTCCGGTTATGGTCGTTTGGTGTGTTAAGGATCAATGTTGCTCAGGGATCAGCAGGGATCACAACAGTGTTTTTTTCCAGTTGTTCTTGACTTAAATCTGTGGGTTCCATGTCCTGCAGCTTTCTACGGCTCAAAACACCCCTACGAAGCACGTGCCTCGACGCAATCTTCCTTGACCAAGGTCGGCTGGAAGAGCTTGGTACAGTAATGCCAATTATGCCATAGGTGGAGTCGATTGGATTACTGGACTCTACAGCTCAACATCCACAACCATCTTCCATTGATATCCTTATTGGAGTTTGATAGGGTTGCCCTGTCCAGTCCATGATAGCAGAGCCAATCCCTGCGTTGAAAATAGGGTACATGACCCCTGCAACCCGGTGGTTTCTCATAATTTTCCGAATAAAAACAGGGTTGCTTCGCCACTTTTTGGGGTTCATTGGTGATTTGACCTCTTGATTTACCCCCGGGTTTGCTATCATTGGAGCCAGGTCGCCATGCCTCGCAAGAAGCCCAGCATATGGATGCCGTCAACCTATGGGTTTATTGAAACCTATGATTCCGAAAGACTTCACCTACAATGTGAGGCCCCCAAGATAGCTAACTTGGTTTATAACTTCAATAACTATGGTTTATGGTACTTATAACTACGTATAGTTACTGGGGTTTATAAACCAACTTATAACTGGGGGGCCTCACATTGTATGATTTTGAAAGACCTTGGGTCTGGTTTTGAAATTTTGAAAGGCTTCGAGTCGCTGAAATGCCACGCTGTGAGCTGTATACCTCCAGTGTGGCAACTGCGTTTGGCTGGCAACTTTTAGTACAAGAAATCCATGGAATGGCAGCATGGCATGAACTCAGAAGTGGGATGAAAGTCAGAATGCAGGACTTCTATGTTTTTTTTCCCCTTAATTCTGCACCTTCGCCCTCATTGGTCCTCGTGCATCGCTGTGCCCCTGTGGGGCCAATTTTTGGGAGCCATGGACGTTGAACGAATGAGCTTTCAGAGACAACCTTTCCATGTCAGATCTGGAGAAGATAGTAATATATATATATAATATAATGTGTATACATTGCATATGTGTATATATATAGAGGTATATGCAAAGTATATATATATATACATATGTATACATATCCAGTTGTAAGCATGGTTGAATAGTGTTTTTTTTTTTTTTTACCACTTACATTCACCAGGGTCGCATCAGCATCATCCTCTTTTCGGCGCCATGTTTTCCTTCACGTCTTCGGAGATCTCCGCGGAGCGGCGCAGACTCTATCGGAGGCGTGGGCTTCGTCGTGGAGAAATTTATCCGTGAAAATATGGTGAAAATATGGTGAAAATATGGTGAAAATTGTGGTTACCCTCTGGTAATTTAACATAACTATGGAAAGATCCACCATTTTTCATGGGAAAATTCACTATTTCTATGGCCATTTTCAATAGTTATGTTAAATTACCAGAGGGTAAAACATGTTAAAACCATCTAACTATGGGGAAATGAGAAAAAAGGGGGAGATACCCATGGCTGGTGTCATCCAACGGCTGGGAAATCATCCAAACGGCTGGGCTGCGATGGATTTTTTTTCGCAGCGAAGAACAAACCTCCATGGCTTGCAGGGTCAGCACTGCCAGCAGACGCTGGTGTTGTTGTTGTTGCCCCCTGCGGAATGGAGAACCCCTGTAACTTGGAAGCATCGTGACTCTGCTGAGGATGGTGAAGATGTGGATGGTGATTGTGATGATGCTGGTGCAGGGTGAGTTTCAGACTTCAAATGACCAGAATCCATGGGTTTTCCCAAGTCTCAAGACTGTATCAGCTGGAGAGATGAGGCTGGATCCGCCCAGCCCCGTGGAAAGCCAATCACGCGAGGCAAGGGTCGCCTGGGGCACCACATGATGTGGTCAATGAAATTGGGATATCAATTTTATGATGATGTACCTCATGTGATCAGCCCAAAATGTATCAATTTTTGGTGTTACATGTTTCAAAGATCTATAGTTATCTAAGTCATAGGAGTCATGATGGTGAAGTGCTTCCCAGTATATAGGTTGCCAGCAAAATTTATGGCTATAATTTATGGCTTTTTCATCAGTCATCATAAAGAAACATTCATCCAAAGAGCCTTACCACTTGCAGGCCCTGAAGAAAACTTTCGACCGTGGGTTTCCAGAAAATGATTTTGCGCAACGGATCATGTTGGCTGCATCCCTCCATGGCCTATATCAAGGATGCTCCTGGTGGCATCTCGAAATGGAAACATGAACATCCAAAGTGGATGCTGAAAAATCCCGAATTTGGTCCTTTTCTTTTGACAACGACGATCCCCAATTTTTATTTACATCAAAGTAATTTATCCAATATACACACGATTTATTTTCTCCAATATAACCTAACAATACCTAATTTAACTATGGTATCTTTCATGGTTTTATTCCAAAAAACATCAAACAAACCAGTCCAGTCCAAAGGGCCCTCCGCTGGGTCGCTCAGAACGACAGCAGCCCGAGTTGGAAGCTCAAACGCTTGAGGTCGTCCATAGAATCTTGGAACAAAATGAAGAGTTCGGGAAGTTTAACCCATGAGTTTTCTGAATGACATATCCATCTATAGTATAGCTGGTGACAGCCATTTTTTGTTGTGTTTCTAATTAGTAGTCTTTTGACATATCTGTAAACTGGATGAAGTATATAATAACTACATTTGCAGTTTAACAACAATACTTAGGTATTTAAGCTTTTTAGATCACTGTTGCTGGTGATAGCCAGCTTTTTGCGTAGATCCCAGAAAAGTAGGGGTTTTACACCAGCAACACATATTTGTATCAACCGTACAGCACTTTTTCCCATCTGTAGTCCATTTTTACCGCTGATTTCTTGCACACAAATGGGGTTTTGCAAGCCAGCCACGTATGAGCTGAACCCCAGAGGGCACCGAAAAGAAGGGTGTGCTTCTATTAAGCAAACCTGGGGATCGGCCGCAGTTGGGGTTGAACTTTTTGGAACTTTCCAGCTCTTGTTTTGTTGTTTACCCTCAGGCAAACATGGCTAGCTGAAAGATTACTATTTTCAGCCACAGAATCATCTATAAAGAGGGGCTATCCACTGAAAACGGGGGTTGGAGCCAGGGATTTACCCCGCAAGGCCAGGGGTATGAAAAACCAACTAATAAAACTGGGAACCGGGAAATTCACCAAGCAAAAGCTGGGGAGATCAAGCTACTAGAATGGCGGTGTTTGGTGACATTTCCCCCATTCCAAGCAGTTGCATTATTGATCTTTGGTGGTAGTTCTATTGAAAACCAGAAAGAACATGGCAATCTTAATCACAATTATCTTTGATGGTGATGAATATGTTCATCTTTTTTGACACCTCTGAACCTGTATTCCTATGACTGAGATCTCTGTATTTCCGAATCTTGCGGTAGGGAAACATGATCAATATTGTGGGGGCTAACGGTTGTCCCCCAAAATTTTGGTGATGCTCATAAAAAATCTAAGGAAGAACCCTGTATCATTGGCGGGTGAGGCACCCACAGTGGCTGGTTTAGTGCAATAAATTAAGCAACCACCCTTATATTTGGAGGTAAGGCTCATGGTCTTCTGAAACATTGACACTAGTCCTTTCTGCCAAAAAGTACTCATCCCTCAAACAAGACACCACGACAAGAAATTCCGATGTAACAGGGCTTCTAGGTTTCTAGTTCTGTTTTTCCCCCTTTCAGGTTGAAAGGGACTAATGTCAATGACCCTCTCCTGAGGACAATGGCGTGCACGCCTTGGGGGTTGGTTCCTCGTCTTTTTTCGGCTCCGACGGCTCGGAAAGATCTGGGTTTCAACCCTTTTTTGTTTGAGACCCAAATGTAGAGCTTTCCTGCAGATTTTGCATCCAACATCATCCAACCAACTCCTGAAATCATGTTTTTTTTTTTTGTAACTATCAAAGACAGGGTTTGAAAGCGTCAATAATGAGTTTTTGATCGTCAAATATGGATTTTTTTCAGCTTGGAGATTTCAACAACAATATTAAAATGTTACCCAAAGTTGGACGAGTTGTGTAACAGAACGAAGAAACAGCACATGCTGCACATGCTGAAAACAAACAAAGTACATTGAGTATGTAGATTGAACCAGTAAAGTATGGGTTGTAGTCAGACACTGGGATGGCTAATTCAGAAAATTGATTGTAGCCAATGGTTGAACAAGCAAAGGCGAATTCAGATGAACTGTTTGGGTCAAGTCAGTTGCTAAGCATAGATCCGCGAACACTTCAGAGACTGGAGTTGCTCAAGACCTTTGGTCTCCCCCAAAATTGGATCAAGAAAACTCCAAAAAAGACTTCAAAATCATTCTCACCTCAAAAAAAAGGTGGGCAAAGAACATAGGGTTATCAGTTATCAGATTCTATCTCAACTCTGGAAAAAATCTTCAGGTCTGGGTGGCGCCATGCCGCGGATCACCAAGTTTGCACGCACTGGCAGCGTGCGATTCAAGGATGGATCTGGTGGCCCAGAAAATGGTCCCCAATATCCCTAAGGATCCTAAGGCAGGGGGATTCTAGGGGGAATCTCATGATTTTTCATCATTTGGTCAAGGTAACAATGGCGGAAATTTAATCTGCCTCCTGTCTGCCACTGCTCTTGTTTCCCCGAAGCTGTCAAGCGGTCGGTTGTATCCAAATTGTCTTTGAATGTACATCCACCATTGGTTGTGGTATCCAGTCTTTGTTAGAAAACCATGCCGTGTTTATCAACCATTCTTGGTTGCATGACTGAACTCTTGACCGCTTTGGAACTTGGAACCCTTCGGTACCATGTAATTGTCATTACTTCATTTTGGAGCCCTGACGAGCTGCAAGAAACCAAACAGCACCAGCGTGACAACACAAAGTCACCCCGAAACAGCACTGAACTTTCACAGTGCAGTCATTTCTTATTATATTAACGCACTGTGAAAACACGTTAATTATAATATTATATTATATTCTTCATATATTATCCCCCTTTCTTATTATATTAAACTTATTATTATCCCACTGTGAAAATCCCTTCAAAAAAAAAAAACATCCCAGGCACCCCCCCAAAACGATTCGGAACGATCAGCGAAGACCCACAGCTCCACCAGGATGTGTGTTCTTCTCCCAGCGACGTGTGCATGTGGCTCGGAGCCGTTGCTCGGCGTTACGTCGTGGTTACGTCGTGACATAACCAGGGGGACATGATGGGATCGGTGATCCCGAGGGGTGCCGTCAGGCGGTGAGTCTGCCAGTGCTGGTTTTGCTCAATTTCAATCGCGCCTACGCCATGCATGACGCTTGGAGTAACGCGCTGTCTGGTGCGGATGGGTCTCCGGAGTGAATGCCAGATGAAGGTCTGTGTGTTCTGGCTCTGGCCATGGTGCAATAAGCTACTCATGTTGAGTAACCTGGCCTCTGGGCGAAAACGTGTTCCGATTCTGGCCCAGGGTTTGCCATGCAATGTCTTCCGCAGGGTTTGGCATGGTGCAACCATCATTTAAATTCAACCAGTTGAAGCATGCCTGAATAGGCAGCGCAGACTGAGGAAACAATTTTCAAGACGGACATCAATTCTCGGACTGAGGTCGCGGGTCATGGTCGGGTCATGGTCGGGTCATGGTCGGGGCAGGGGCCAATCTGTCGTTTCTGCTAGGCCTTGATCCGCTGCGCCTGTGTGCCGGTGGCCTGCACCGCAGTGAATTACTTT